AGGCTGCGAGGAAACCATCGAGGCCACCTTGCGCAAACGGAGACTGTGTTCGCGGGCTTTGTTATGCGCATGGAGGACAGCCGCCTCCCCAAGGGCATGCTGCTAGGAGCGATGGCGGCGGGCGTGGGATACCGGGGCGGGCAGGAGAGCTGCTGGGTGTCTCGTCTAGGAGAAAACCTCGTGGCCTTGAACATGGGAGACGAAAAGGAAGGGGGGTAAATGGAAAGAGAGCGCCAAGGATCGGGAGGTGTGGTACAACAAGGTCGAGGACGGGGCGGCATGGTTCATGAGGAAATGGCACAGGCAAGTGGCGGAAGCGTCCGCCAAGCGCCAGCGCGCGAGGGAAGCAGAAGCAGAGAGTACGGCCATCTCAGGACCGGAGCGAAAGAGAGCCGGGGAAGCGGCGGCGGGGGGGAAGAAAGGGCGACCGGGCACTGCTGTAGAAGCGAGTAGGGCGGCCGAGGCAGCACTTGTGGCGAACTGTGTACCCGGCTGATGTTGTTGCGCCCTGTTTCCCTCCCTGCCGTATGCTTACTCCTTGATGTGTGTCCATCGTATTGCCTTCGGCCTCTGTGCTGTGTTTCTTCATTTTCATGACCCCCCTGCCTACTCTGCTGTGTTGGGAACCTTGATCTCGCTTTTCTGTTGCCTTTGTTTTTGTACGTCTGTCTGTCTGCCCATCTGCCGCCTCTTTGTCCTGCTTGCTCCGTTACTCCCATGCCATGGTGCGTAGTGCCTGGTGCTGGTACGTAACCCTTTGATTTCTTTGGGCGGGTGTGGGAAGCGTCCTCCTTAATTTTTGTTTTTGTCGTTTTGTGATCGGTTTCCGAGGGCTCTTTTCTCGAACGGTCGGTGCGATACCTGTTCACTTTTTCTATCATACTTTGTTTTCTTTTCCGAGTGGCTTGTACCCTATTTTTGTATTTGTTTCCCGCGGCGTCGTATATGCCGGGTTTTGAGACAACGGGATCCGCATTTTTTGTGGAGTATATAGCTAATGTGACAAACAACAACAACAACTGGAGGAGAGGAAAAGCAGCGCGAATCATGACGTACGGTAGTTTTTGCAGCACGTTGTGTCTAATATAAGAAATGCAAAGAAAATCAGACAACTATTATTATTACACTGTTTCGGAAATAATGCGTTTTGAAAAGTTCACTTTCACTTTTTAGGGAAAAGAGCCAGTTTATGGTCGCCCGAAAAATGAACCTTCGACCCCAGGAAAATTTTTTTGGCACGGAGGCCAGCTGGCGTCTGTAAAAGCTGAACATTTCCGTTCCTGTTCAAAGTTCATTTTCTATGAATAGGAACTTAGCAGGACAGTAGTAGCACAGCAGCACCGCACAGACAGACCGCACCAGCCCACACCACGGCGAGTAGCGACGGGAAGAATGTCGACCAACGCAGTCCGCCAAAGCTCGAGGACCGTAGCCCCCTCTTTCAAAGTTTGTGATAGGGTTAGCGACGACCAGGAGTCTTCTTTTTTGGCAGTAGGGCAGCGGAAGGCTAGGGAAATGGAGGAGTTCGGCGGAGAAGAGTCGAGAGACAGCAGTGGCGGCTNTCGCCCGAAAAATGAACCTTCGACCCCAGGAAAATTTTTTTGGCACGGAGGCCAGCTGGCGTCTGTAAAAGCTGAACATTTCCGTTCCTGTTCAAAGTTCATTTTCTATGAATAGGAACTTAGCAGGACAGTAGTAGCACAGCAGCACCGCACAGACAGACCGCACCAGCCCACACCACGGCGAGTAGCGACGGGAAGAATGTCGACCAACGCAGTCCGCCAAAGCTCGAGGACCGTAGCCCCCTCTTTCAAAGTTTGTGATAGGGTTAGCGACGACCAGGAGTCTTCTTTTTTGGCAGTAGGGCAGCGGAAGGCTAGGGAAATGGAGGAGTTCGGCGGAGAAGAGTCGAGAGACAGCAGTGGCGGCTCTGGCAACCCACCTCCTCCTGCTGGTGGTCTTGAGGAGGATGGAGTACAGGTCCTGTCGACACCGCGTGGCAATGTGCAGGCTAAGCCACCAAGGAAGGGCAAGTGGACGCTTCCATGCATGATCCGCGTTGCTGAGAAGGGTAAGTCTCTACTGCTGTGTAGATGCGAGAGCACGGCTCTCTTTCTACTCGTGGTCCATCTTGGGTCTAGACCGCCGTATGTCCTGCTGCTGTTGCCTTGATTCGCAGATAGGATATAGCTCTCTGGCATGATGCGATGGATCCTGCTCCGGCATGATTCAAATTTGCAGTTGTACGGCCGCCATCTGGTTCGCTTCGCCTCCCTCGAGATTGCTGCTGCTGCTGCTGCTGCTGCTGCTACTGCTACGATCGCGCGCGCAACTCGCAACTCAACTTTGCCCATGTGTGCACACAATCGCACGAGAACAAGAAGAAGACACGCCCGGCCGCCGCATCCCACACGCGGGACGCAGCCAAGCAGTTGTAGCACGTCCTTTGATTGTCCCTTGATATATAGCTTTCCAGCGTACGTAAGTGGTACCAGGCATGTAGTACAAATAGGTGACTGGTTTGATCCGCATTTCAAAAATCAAAAATCGCGCGCGCCCTCCTGTTGAGTGAGACACACATATTGCACATCCACATCATCTGCCACGCACCATGGGTTTCGCTACACCCCCCCGGTTGCTGCCATCTGCTATCTTATTAGCATGCAGCAGTGTTGTTCGGCCATCATGCGCAGCTGTGAAAAAATAACCAAGAGCGTCTCAAATCTTTGCGCATGTCTCCGCGTCCTGATTTTTTTCTCCGGCGCTTTGTCATGTTTGACGCAGGGCTCAAGTTTCAATGCTGGCAGGTTAGAGGACGCAAGGAAACGGTGCCGCAGCAGTGGCTGAAGGCCGACAAGGAGATACTGGGCGAAGCTCCGTGGAACATCATGTTCGAGGGAATTAGTGACACTGCGTTCGAGGGAATTAGTGACACTGCGATCATCTCCAAATTCACCGCCATGGTTTCCGAGAAGACTGGAGCAGAGAATAAGGCCGCGGCCACCACCGGCGGGGGGGAAGACGGCTCGGAAAACGTTGGCGAAGATGAGATTAAGCTGGTGAGAGGCGTGAGCGATAGGACAACCTCGTGATGCCTATTGTACCAACAGCGAATGCCCTGAGTGGAATTTCTACGTCGGTACAGCAAGCCCCCCCCCCCCCCCACGCTCANCTACGTCGGTACAGCAAGCCTCCCCCCCCCCACACACGCTCACACCACCAACCTGCGGACATGTGTTCGTCCCTATCATTGGCGCCTCGAAAGTCCTGTAAGATTGGTTGACTTCGATTGTGCTTCCCGCCCCCACAATGCCCTGTCGCGGGAAGGCCAAGAAGAGCATGGGTTGGCAACAAGTTTCGATCTCGTTCGGGTGCACGATGATATATGTAAACAACAGGACGGCAAGTGCTAGAGCACACCTACGTCGTGACGTGTTGGCGTTGTCTGCACCGGCGGCGCCCGAAACCATTCCGAGANCCCGACACTCAGACAACACAAGCGAGTTTAGCCAGATTGTTTTTTTCCCGTGACGGTTCGTGTTTGAGTGGTGGCATTTACATTCGAGAATTGGCTTATCCGCATGTTGGAGCAGTACACTTCAGGTATGAGAAGGGTTGGTGATTACCGTCGTCCGGCCTACACGTCGCGATGCCTGTGTCTTGGCGCTCATGCAGGAAAAAGTGCTGGGTGCGATCGTGGACGCGAAAGCTGGATTGAGGGCTGAGAAGAGGATTGAGGATTGAGCAAGAAAATTTCGCCAACATCAGGGCGGCGGGCCTCGCGGAGAAGCAGAACGCCGAAAGGCGTTGCGCACCAGGTGCCGGCTCGACATCATTCGGGGCGGCCCACGCCAGCGACGAACGCGCGCGTGCCAAAGTTCTTCAACGCGAGCTCTCAACGGCGGGTAGCCAGCGGGCAAGCGAGGGGGGAGGGGCTGCAAGGAAGTTGCCCCCGCTCGGCGCGGACATCCAAAAGAAGCTCAGCGCGCAAAATGAGGTTGATCTGGCNTCCTGACCTACATCACAGGAGCGACGACGGAGCAGGCGGACCTCGTCCTCACCAAGGGATTTACGCAAGAACAACTTCCTTTGGAGCCCGCGGTCTGTATCCTCGAGCAGGCGGTCGGTAACAGGCTGCGAATCCCATGGGGAAACCTATCGCTGCAGGATTTCAGCGTTGTTAAGGGAGCGGGCTTCGAAATCAGTGGTTTTGACGCGTATATGGTGAAGGAGTTGTAACAGCATATTGGTGAAATTGAGAGCGAAGCATCTAATTGAGAGCGAGATTGCGCGATGCGCTGCAGCTGGACTACTGCTGAGAGGTGGAGCTTGCTGCGTAGCTTGAATTGAAGGGCCAGCCGGTAGCTACAAGCAGATACCCTGGTCATCCTGTGGGAGTCTCTCGATGTGGAGTTACAGCGGCGATCAGAAGCTACAGCAGAGCCCACCGCCCAAGACCACACCGCCCTGCAACAGTTTGAGGCAGGTATAGCCAATCTGGGCAAATCTAGCAACTTGTCTAGCTCCTAGCTGCAGCATCCGATGACGATGACACGCATATGCTCGTGACGCTGCTGATGAGACCTTCAATTTGCGCCGCTTCTTGGAAGAGCCCGCCCCCTACTTCCCAAGAAATGGTAATTGGCGTCTGGACCCGAATTTCAATATTTTTGGCTCTCGCTCCCAATTTCATGATTCGCTCTCAATTTCACCAATATGTTGTTTTGTGTGATAAGTACGGCCCCGACTATCAGTTGTTCATGGCATGTGATCGCGTCTCCGTGTACACCGACGGGTGGACAGTAGGGGATCCTGGGTGTCCAACGGAGGAGGAGTTAGACGGGCTATCTGAGAAGCTGGCCACCCTGCTTGTGTACGGCACCGTGAAACCCAACAATGGCACCTCACCGGAGCATCCAAGCAGCGCCAGCAGCAGCGGCAGCAGTGACGTGTTTGACTTGTCGGGCGATGGACAAGCCGGCGGAGGTGGGAAGCGTGCCCCGAAGAGCAGCAGGAAGACACGGAACACGACCAACCGTGCGAGCGAGGATGGCCTTCTGCAGTAGGTATGGACGAGGACTGTCTTTGTGGGATGTCAGTGATTTCAGTAAATGACTGATGAGACATGATTTTTGCAACTGTTTTTCAGCACATGTCCTGGGGTCGGCACACGGCCTTTGAGCTCCCACGTTGGCTTTCGTGTTGGCATGAGGTGAACGTAAATTACGGATCGACTTGAACGGCAGTTGGATGGTCGCTTGGTTGGCACCCAAGCTCGATGCAAGCTCGATGACGTCTGAATTGTCGGTACTTGTACGTTGAGATAGGTGTGCCTCTTTATACCGACTAACATTTGTCTCGTCTGTGCCTCTCTCGTCTGTCCCTCTCCGCCTGTTGTCTTGACTGAACCCCGCAGGATGATGAGGGAGGCGTCGCAGAAGCAGGATAAGGCTTTTGAGCTCCAGTTGCAGCGGGAAGAGTTCAAGGACCGTAGGCGTTCGGACGAGAAGAAGGAGGCTGCGCAAGTGCGCAAGGAGGACAGGGACTTTGCCGAGCAGCAGCGTAAGGAGGAGAGGGAGAGGGAGAGGGA